AGGAGAGGGCCAAACTCTGGGAAGACTTTATCCAAAAATATGTACATAGTTTAGCCTTTGTTCCTGGGGTTCCTACATAAGCAGGAATGTAGAGGTGTTCTCCCCATTGGGGCAGGACCCCAGGAACCTCACCATCAGTGTTGAAGTACTCTGAGCTCTGTTTCCATCTGGGTATCATCAGTACCTATGAGCTGGGAGGTGGAAGGAAAGTCTTAAATTTGGGGTAGTAAGCCTTGAAATCCTGAGCTATACTTACACACACACATACACACAACACACACACACACACACACACAATGAGATCTTCAGGATTTTAAGGACTTGGAACTGGGCCTTGCCATGTGGAAGATCCAGCCATACTCATCATAATTGACACCAGTGATGCTAGGAATATGTAGAAAATCAGTAGAGGTCAGCAGCTCCTGGGATTGCCTGGACAGGAAGATCTCATCCACCACATAACACATAACCTTGAAGGCCTAAGGGGACATTCAAGGTCAGGAAACAAAGTCAGAGCTCAGACATTTTCTGATGCCCACTGAGTTACTTTTTCCCCTTCCTTATTAATCCCAGTATGCTCACATATATCCCAAACCTGACTTTGCATAACTTTGTCTCCATTTCACATTCAGCTATGGAAATAAAGTAGTAAACAGGAAAGTTTCCCTGATTATTCTGTCTGAATATTAATTAAATTGTCTTTTAATCTCTTTGTCCCAAAAGATAACCCATGGCTGGGGGCCTGGGTGACCTCAAAGTGTAGTCCTTGAGTGGGTCTCCCAGGAATGAGTTGATTGAATACCCTGAACTTATGAAAGGGCTACAGTTTCTGACCCCTGAAAGCAACCAGAGCTATGTGAACCCATACACAGGGGTTAGCTGCCCACCCTGTGTAAGAGGCCTTCTTGGACTTGATAGTGAGAGACTTCTCATCAGGATCCACACTGCAATGGGCCATGGTCTGACACTTACAGGCAGGTTAGAGCCCTCATTGGTGTGGGTGGCTGTGTAGATGCTGAGATGTAGGAAGTCCTCTTATACAGCATGGGAAGCAGAGTCAGAGTTAATAGGTTCAGAGTCTCTGTGACTTAAGCATTGTGCAGACATCTGGTGTTCTGATTTAGATATGAGGTGTCCCCCAAAAGCTCATGTGTAAAATAATGCAAGGAAGTTCAGAGGTGAAATGATTGGGTTATGAGAGCTTTGACCTAATTGATTCATTAATCCACTGATATGGATTAACTGGGAGGTAACTGTAGATAGGTACGGAGTGTCTGGAAGAGGTGGGTCACTGGGGACCTGTCTTTGGGACTTACACTTTATCTTTCTCCTTCCTAATTGCCATGTCCTGAGCTGCTTTTCTTTACCATACTCTTCTGTTATGATGTTCTGCTTTAGTTCATGCCCAGAGGTATGTAGTCAGCTTTCTATGGGCTGAGACCTCTGAAACTGTGAGCCACATAAACTTTTCCTCCTGTTTTTGCCAGGTCTTTTGGTCCCAGTGACAAAAAACTGACTAAAATACTTAGTAACAATGGATTAAGGTATTCCAGAAGCTGTGCAATGGTCAACACTGGACCTCTGGTCCTGATTTGCTCCCAGACACTCTCAGTCCCTGCTCCACCTGATGCTCTGCCTTTCTTTAAAGTCATTTCCTAACAAGGTAGAGGTCAGAGGCTCTGTGGAAGCTGGGATGGAGCCCAGACTTCCGGGGAGGACTAATGATTGTTGAGGGCCTAAGATCTCACTCTTCCTGAAGCTGGGAAATCGTGTCTCTAAGGGCCTGTTTTGGAACCTTTTGGGGCCTGTGTTGACATTCATCATTTATCCGTGTACCCATTCAGGCCTGAAATAGCATAGGTGGCAGTGCTTGAGTGGATAGAAGTTAGTTTCCCATAGAAGCACACTGGCGGTGCTTGAGTGGATAGAAGTTAGTTTCCCATAGAAGAGTAATGGGGCATCCCACAGCCCAAGTCGAGACTCTCAGGGAACATCATCTCTCCCACAGAGTCTCCAGCTATAAGCACATACACCTGTTCCTTGGCTACTGGTACCTGGCCCTGTGGATTGCCACAGTGACTGTGGAGGGCTGAGTCCCCAAGAAGCCATCACTACTCCCCTCCTCAGGAACCTGCAGTATCTGTTGCTGGAGTCAGGGTCTTTTATAGGTTGATTGAGCCAACCTGAAGAGGATCCATCAGTGAGGCTGGGTAGATTTTCCTGTCTGGAAGGTCCTGGTGTCCTCCAAGAGCCTGATCAACTGCAGGTAAGGAAGGAAGCCTGGCAGGGGCGGGCCATGGGGGTGAGGTGAGCATGGATTCCCCTGGGAAGATTACACTGGGAAAGTGTTGAGGATCTGGTCAGGTTCCACACTAGAAACCTTTGAGGTGAGAGAGATCAAGGGCTTCAGACACCCTGGGCATGGTACCCTCCTGGCAACTATTCCTGATAAGGGCCTGGAGCCTTCTGACATGTGCAGATCACTATCACCTTTGTCCTGAAACCCAAGCCATGTCTGTGGCTCAGCTCAAGTCCATGGGTGAGGGGAACCTACAGCCTCCCTGTTTTGCTTTGGGATGTGGTATGATGGGGGGTGATGTGGTGAGAAGGGCTGTTGTGTCCCAGAAAGCCAGTAACCTTGCCTGGGGACATTTTAGAGGATTCCAGGTGCTTCTCTGGCCAGAGGGGACAAAATACTTAGAGCCAAACATAACTGGAAAGGTATTAGTAGTACTAGTAGTAGTAATAGTAGTAATAGTAATACCTGAAGGTCAGTAGCAGATACAGCCACAGCCACATATATTGGAGAGAAATGTCCCAATCCCTGCTTCTCTTCTGACCTGCCCCTCCAGGGCTTTCAGAGGTCTAACAGTGGACTCAATCCTTTATGTTAGGTGTCCTTAGGCAGGCCTAATCCTCTCTCTCTCTGATTTCAGGGGAGTCACCCTGGGATTTGGGGGTTTATGGGATGGTCACATTTCTCCTTCGTCATCTCCACCACCTCTCTACTTCCTGGCACCTTCTCTTCTGCTGCTGTGGGCACCATGCTCACCCACAGGCCACTGTGGAGCAGGACCTGTCCAGGCTCAGATAGAGTTTGGAACCAGCAGGGAAAAGTTGAGGCAATGGGTACCACTGGGAGAGGTGGGTGCTGTTGGAGAGCCACCCTGACTGGGCAGAGGTCATGGAACTAGTGGGCAGTGGGGGGAGCTGGGCCATCTCCCCTTTGCCTACCCGCTTTGTCCACCTTCCAAGGCACTGTGCCAGCCCTTCTGAGAACCTTAGGAACCCTCTCCTCACACCTGGATTCATTGATTCACTATCTTTGCAGTAGTGGCCCAAAGAAAGAAACGTGTTGAGAAAGTAGGAAGTGTTGAGAAAGAAGGAAGCAGAAAGTTTGTCATTTTCACAGGCCAGTTGTGCCAGGGCAATAGGGTAAGCTGCAGTAAGGACAAAGAAAGTGCTCAGAGACAGCAAATGAGACATGATTTCCAGGGTAAAGCTTACAGCAGATCAGTGACTGCACCAACAAGAGTTCAGTGTGGACAAGCCAAACAGATAGCACCTTTGTCCCTCTGTCCCTCAAGGTGCTTTGCCAAAAAGTGCCTCCTTGACTCTCAGAGCATTTTGTCCATTGGTAGCTGGCTGGACAAGGACATGCATCCCTTCCACAGTGCCCTCAGTTCCATGCCTATCCCCATTCAGAAAGGGGTCTTATATGTTCGACTGAAGAAGTAGTGACATCATCAGCATTAGCTTGCTTGTATGGCCAGTATCCCAAGGAGCAACAGTCCTGGTGTGCCTGCAAGAAAGTAGCTTTTTACAGATAAAGTAACATGCTCCCAGAGTGCATAAGAGAAAGCCAGTGTCCTTCAGTATGTACCTGGACTTTCCAGCCCAGGCTTGCTCTCATTGTTCACTTAACTTGGTTAGATTTTTGGGAACAGAAGAGAGGCATTCAGGGATACGGGGTTTAATGATTCAGAACTGTAACTGGAGAAGCCAAGGAATCCTCACATGAACAGAATGGACCTTCCATTTGGTGAAGGGATCAGTTTAAACAAAGGCAGGGAGGTGTGGCTGAGCCATTAACCCTGAAAGCTCATCATCTTCTGGAGCAGAGTTTATTGGTTCCGCTTCGCGGTCTGAGGGGTCTGCACGGGCCCCTCCCTATTCAATCATGGCTCATCTTTTGAAATGCACACGTGAATGTGCACTTCTCATTGACCTCCCCATCAGCAGGGCTTTCACTCTCCCCACTCCATGGAGAGTCGATTTCAGTGCCCCTTATCCACCTGAGAAACATTTAACATTAAAGAGTGCCTGCTGGTCCCAGCTCTTGGGGCCCGGCAGGTCAATCCCAGGTCCGATTCTGCGGGGAAGGCAGGTTCATCACTGGAAGATTCTGAAACACCGAGAACACTGCAGGGATAGAGAGAGCTAGCCTGGGCACCAGAGCGCCCGCCCAGCCGGACATCCCGGAGGAAAACTGGTGCGGGGCTCAACCTCAGCTGTCAGTGCCCTCCGACAATTGGGCCGTGGCCTCCGCGTTCCAGCTCCCAACCGGCTCGCAGTGTGCAGCGTCGCCGGGTCCCTTCTCAGCCCGTTTGCGATAAATGTCAGTTATTTCCTGGTCCGAGTAACCAGTACGCCAAAGCCTAGTTCTTAGCTAGACAGCGGCTCCTGTAATCCCGAGGCTGAGGCAGAGGATACCAAACTTGAGGCCAGCCTGGGCAACCTAGCTATACCCTGTTTAAAAATAAAATATAAAAAGGGATGTAGCTTAGTGGTGGAGCACCCCTGGGATCAACTCCCAGAATCGAGGATAAGAGGCGAGCCGCGGAGCAGCCAACAGTTCTCTGAAACCCGGGGCTGAGAACCCGCAGCGCCGCTTGTCCCTCGCATGACCCCGTAAAGACGCCCCGCCCTCTTCCCGTTCCCAGGAAGTGCGCCAGTAGGAGCGGAAGAGCTTACTGACTCGGGTCGACAGCGGTTCCGGCATGGTGGGCGGCGGCAGTGGAGTGGGCGGTGGCCTCTTGGAAAACGCTAACCCCCTCATCTATGAGCGCTCTGGGGAGCGGCCGGTGACGGCGGGCGAGGAAGACGAGCAGGTTCCCGACAGCATCGACGCGCGGGAGATCTTTGATATCCGCCGCTGCTGGGCGCGGGCGGGTTGGGGGGTCTTGGGGCAGGCGGAGAAGTGATGTCCAGCAGCGGATGGAGGAGTATTCTGGCCAGGTATTCCTGGCGGAGGGTTCTGAGTGGCCAAAAACACACAAGTCCGTTTTCCTTCACTTGACACATCTTATTCGCTCCATCAATGACCCGGAGCATCCACTGACACTAGAGGAATTGAACGTAGTAGAGCAAGTTCGGGTTCAGGTGAGTCACTCCCAGTGTCAGAGGGGAGCAACTTGTTCGGGAGAGTCAGAAAGGCTCCTCTGTGCATCAGGGAATGGCTTTCAGCTTAGGGACATTTAGGGGTATATTTGGGAGGAGGATTGTCTTGCCTGTTTTTACAGATGTTGAAACTGAAGCCCATAAAGTATAGGTGACTTGTCCAAAGCAACAAACCAAGAAGAGGGCCTCTGGACTGGGTATGGCCATGATCCTTGACATCTCCCCACAACTGCCAGGTTAGCGACCCCGAGAGCACAGTGGCAGTGGCCTTCACGCCCACCATTCCACACTGCAGCATGGCCACCCTGATTGGCTTGTCCATCAAAGTCAAGCTTCTGCGCTCACTTCCCCAGCGTTTCAAGGTCAGTTCATTTTGAGATTTGAGGGTGAAATGTCTTGGTCTGCTACTGGGGAAAAAGAAAAGGGAGAGAATGAACTTGAAGAGAACATCAGAGTGGAGTGTGGAAGGATCCCAATTAGTTGAGAACTGAAAGGAAACTTTCTAACTTGATATGACAAAAATTAAAAATTGTGATCTGGTGCCGGGCATAGTGAAGCATGCCTATAATCCCAGTGATTTAGGAGACTGAGGCAGGGGGATTGCAAGTTCAAGGCCAGCCTCAGCAACTTAGTGAGACCCTGCTCAAAAGAAAAATAACAAGGGCTGGGGATGTGCCTCATGGTTTTTCAAAAATTGTGATCTAGAAAGTGCAGAAAGTAGTGAAGAGTGTGGCAGAAGGGATATAAGGAGCTGCACATGAATTTGGATTGAGGATAGGGCACAGACATACATTTATTTATTTATTTATGTATGTATGTATGTATGTATGTATGTCCTGGGGATTGAACCTAGGAGTGCATTACCACTGAGCCACATCCCCAGTTCTTTTTAGTTTTATTTTGAGACAGGATCTCACTAAGCTGGGGAGGCTGACCTCAAACTTGGAATCATCCTGCCTCAGGCTCCCAAGTCTTTGGGATTACAGGCATATGCCATCATGCCCAGCTTAGACAGGCCTTTAAATCAACAGTTGTTGACCAGTTCTTTGGGTAGAGTTGGAGTGGTTGTGGATTGGTTAGAGGTGTAATGGAAGGGCCAGAATCCAGGGGTGGATTGGGAGGAAGGCTCAGTTGGAGGTGGTGCCTGAGGGTTTTGTTCAAGGGGCAGAAGGGGGACTGATGGGTGGGTACCCACTCAGGCTAGGTTATCTCCTTTCCAGATGGATGTGCACATCACACCAGGGACCCATGCCTCGGAGCATGCAGGTAAGTGTGGGCTGGGGGTGAGGATGGTGTGCCAGGGCTCTAAGCTGTCAGAAGTTTCTCTCACCACAGAGGTTTATAGGCCAACATTGGGGGTGGGGGACTGAGTGAGGGAAATTGCCAGATTCTTTTCAGTGAAGGTGGTGACCCAGACCAAAGCTGGCCTGACTCAAGTCTCCTGCTTACCATATACTTCCCTCCTGCACTCCTCAAGCATGTAAGATCAGTGTGTCAGGTTTCAGCAATATTGGAGGTAGACATGAGCAGCCGGGTGAGAAGGGTCCTAAAGAAGGCAGGATAGGTGTCAACTCAGGTTATTGGGGTACCCTAATCAAGGGTCCTGGGAAGGATGGGACAGAAGAGCCTTACTGGTGGGGACATACTGTTCTAAAGCTCAGAGGTGGACTGGCTAGTAGCCTGGTCAGAGCTTGGCTTTGTGTGTGTGAGAGAGAGAAACTGGGGATTGAACTCAGGACTTTGCGTATGCTAGGCAAGTGCTCTACCACTGAGTTATATCCCCAGCTCAGAGAGCATGGCTTTGATTCTGCCTTTCTCACTCCTCCCCGACCCAGTGAACAAACAGCTTGCAGATAAGGAGCGAGTTGCAGCTGCCCTAGAGAACACTCACCTGCTGGAGGTTGTGAATCAGTGCCTGTCAGCCCGCTCCTGAGCCTGACTTTGGCCCTCAGCCTGCACACCAGTGTCCTGGCCTCAGCTTCACCCAAGGCTTATGGCTTGTTTTCTTGAATCATAGATGATGAGAAACTAACATTTTGCATTTTGTAATAAACCCTTAATTTATATTCATTTCCCATCATGCCTTAGCATCTTTCATCTTGGCGGAGTCGCTTGGGATTTGGGAGAGGGTAGTTATAATGGGTGCCTATGTAGGGTGGATCAAAGATTTGTGGTTCTTTACTTGTTTTTAAAATCTCTCCCAGTGTTTTGATTAGGGACTAAAGTTAAAATTATACAAAAAAACTGAAAGATTAATATGTGAATATACCTTTATATCAAACACCATCAGAAAAATCAATAAAAATAAGATAAAATAGAATAAACTGCCTTACCATAACCACATCCAGTTTTTGAAGAATGTTAGACAATGTGAAGACTGAGAGTTCTAATCTGTGTGTTAATTTCTCAATAAGTCATAGTTAATCACAAAAAAAAAACAAAACACCGTCAGTAGATCCAACAATTGTTGACCTGTTATAACACTGGCCTTATTTATATGTGTGCATATAAATGTAAGTATATTTGAGAGTTATTTACAGAGACATGACTTTTCATTTTGACATCTATATAAGATAAACCTGTGTAGTCACAGCACTTTTTTTTTCTTTGCAGTACTGGGAATTGAACCCAGGGGCACTTTACCAGAGCTACATCCCCAGCCCTTTTGAAACAGAGTCTCACTAAGTTGCTTATGGCCTTGCTAAGTTGCTTAGGTCCTCACTAAGCTGTTGAGGATGGCCTCAAACTTGCAATTCTCCTACCTCAGCTTCCTGAGTTGCTGAGGTTACAGGTGTGCACAACCATGCCCAGCAGTTATAGTACTTTTGTTTGGTCAAGAACTGAGCAGTTGGTGCTGGGGTTGTAGCTCAGTGGTGGAGCCCTTGCCTAACACACATGTGGCACTGGGTTCAATCCTCAGCACAACATAAAAAATAAATAAAATATTGTGTCCATATGCTAAGGCAGAGGGGGAGGTCTTCATGTTGTTGAGGGTGTACCCTCCAGGAAGGATAGTGGACACCCCCTCTTACTCTCTTTTGCTTCCTGGCCATGAGGTGAGAGGCTTTGCTCTGTCACACAAACATAGTGTTCTGCCTCACCATGGGTCCAGAGCAACAGCCAACAAACAAGGGACCGAAATCTCCAAAACTATGAGCCAAGATAAACCTGTCCTCTTATAAGTTTGTGATAATAGCTTGTCCAGCTGATGGTGATGCTCAGTCTTGTTTCCTCATCAAGGCAGTGACATCAGCTTTCTCTGCTGAAAGAATCCTGAGGAACCCTTTCAATCAGTCTTCCCAGAGATGAATGATAGCCCAGGTGTTGAGTAAGAAGGGGAGCTCAATCCCATGAAGTGATGTTTCAGTTCTGGGACCTCCGCCTCCACCTCCCCCTGGCTCTGGGTCCTAAGTGCAGTTGGTTACTTGGAGAGACCTCAGGCTTAGATACTAGCTCTGCCAGTTAGAAGTTCTTTCCCAGGGCTCCCTGCCTTGGGATTCTCTGGCGCAGTTTCTTTCTCTGAGGATAAATGGGAACGCACCATACCCGCTGGGGCTCAGAAGTGATTATGGGCTGAGACCTAAAGAAGCCTCAACAGGAAACCTGGGCACTTGGTAAATCTGTTCTTGAGCACCACCGACAACCTTAAGCCTGTCCTAAGAGTGGGCATTGGACCAGGGGCTTTACACTTACAGTCTAGTTGGATAGTTCTCCATCTAACCCTGTGCTTTTCTTATCCCCAATTTGCAGATAAGGAAATGGGCTTAATAAAAAATTCCTTCTAAGACTTCCAACTAGGAAATAAAGGAGAACCTGAGCAGCCTGATAGGTGCTGCTTAGATGACAGGGGACACTGTTGCCTCTAGAGAAGGGCTTAGGCCTACCTGAAACCCCCAACTCCTATTGTCATCACAATCAGTTTTTAGGAGTACTATTGTCACCCAGTGACCAAGGAGAGGCTCTGAATGTGGCTGCCTAAGATCAGAGAAGTGAAGTCCTCAGCCATTGCTCAGTTGTTTGGTTTTTACCTGTGATGTAGGGACAGTCATGGCAGTACTTAGGACTGCTCTGTGGAAATTTAAAGTGGCTCTGGGCCTATCTCAGATGACCTTCCAGACGTCAGATCCCCTATTTCACAGATGAAGAAGCTGAGTGCTCTCGAGAGGCAGGGTGATATACCAGGTGATCAGATTCTAGCAGTTTTCCCAAGCTGTAGGCCTTACCACATGCAAACCTCTGCCCTGATACCCCCAATTGTCTGAGGTGGCCATGGTGTCTATGTGCAGCTGAAAGTGGGACTCACAGGGAAGGCAGGTGTTGCTGAGTCATTCTGCTGGCCTTCTTGACAGCCAGGCCTTGGTGGGTGAGGGATACCAAGCTGCCCATGCCATATCTGGCATTTCATATAGTCCCCTGGACAGTCTTGACTCATCTGTGCCTGGCCCCTGGCTGCCTGCAGGGCACCATCTGTGCACACTAAGCCAATGCCAAAGGAACTTTCTGGAACACCAACTGGTGTGTGAGGACCTGGGGTGTGGTGGAAGGTGGTGGAGTTTAAGGTCTTTTGATACCCTCTGCCAGGTGTATCTGGGTCTGTGTTTCTGGCCACGACCCCTCAGGCCTTGGTTACCATATTTTTTAAATGGGAATAATCAATCATAGCTAAATGAGATTGTCCCAGGGGTTAGATGACACACATGAACATATGTAGCTATATTTCCATTCATAATCCTGCCTCCCTGGATAACCGCCTGGCACACAGTAGATACTTATTGTAAGTTAATGGAATGAATGAATGGATGGAGTCTTAAAACACAGCAGAGGCCCTGGAGCACTGGGTTGAGGAGTGAGAAAGGGTGGGGACACTGTAACTAAGTTCCCTTTGCATCATTTTGTTACCTGAAGAAAGGAGAGAGCATGAGACCCTATAAAGGGGAGTGGTATTTGCATTATTCCTGAGATCTCTGCCCCTTTCCTGGGCAGATCACCATCCTAGAGAGAATGGTACAGCAGCAAGAGAGTGCCAACAGATTAACTCAACCTGCCCCATCCAACCAAGAGTAATAAAAATAGAAGTGTTCTTTCTGAGATATTACCCTGTGCCAGACATGAGCCAGCTACCTTACCTCTGCAGTTCATGTTATTTATCTGAGAAAAATCCCCAAGAACACATTATCCTTGGTCTATACAGGAGGAAACTGAGTCTCAGCCATGATAAATGGACAGAGGTAAACAACAAAGGACAGAGGACCCTAGGCCTGACTCCAACCTCAATTCTGAACAGGCAGGGGTGTCTCAAGGTCATGTCCTAGGGCCCCTGGCCATACCTAGGCTCGTGATGAGTGTCTCTGGCCTGTTGGGGCAGCTGCCAGAATGCCTGGGGTCTGAGTAGCCCTGTGTGGATGTGGTTCCCTTGGCAATGAAGACACACAGCTGAGGTCAAGAGCTCAGATTACCAGAAGGGAAAGCCAGCAGTGTTTCCCTGCATGGCCCCTGCTGGGAAGGGCTGTAGCTACCACCTCCTCCTCTCCCCCTCCCCCGCCCATCCCCCTCACCCATCCACTTCTGCCAGAATCTTCCAGGCACCTATGGGCTCTTTCCAGCCACACTGTGTATGTGTTACAGGTGGCAGGGGTGGGGGGAGGCATCACAAGCAGCTATCCAGGATTCCTGATGGGAAGTGGTGTGTAGCTCTTGAGACTTCTATCCTCTGATGAGAGGCTGGACTCATGGCTCCCTCTTCGCACTGGACATTGTCCAGGAAGCCAAAGCCAGCATGGGGCCACCCAGGCCTCTGAAATTCCTTCCTATGGACAGGCCTCCCCTTAGCCCAGCTCTTACCTACTTTTGGGAACTCAGGAATAAGAGGGCCCTGCATGAACCTGCTAACCTTACTTAGCCAGGCCCTCCTCAATTCAATGCCTTCTTAAATGTTGCCAAGGAAACTGACACAGCAGCCAGAGAGCCTGGCCCAGGTCTCCATGACAACCTGCAAGAGCCCACTAGGTTTCATCCATGATGTCACCTGAGTCACAGATGGGTACTCTCCACCCCCACCACACTCAAACGTCACAATCCAACGTCAGAGTCTGATAGCAAGCTCCTGTCACAGCCTGTCTACCCCCAACCCTCATGCACCCCAGAGATGAGCAAGGTGGGGGAATAGGTCATGATGCCCGATTTATATAGCTGGGCACCCTAAGACTAGGAGAAGGGCAAGAGTCAGTAGGCTGGAGGCAGAGCCAGGACTAGACACTCTGTCCCCCATTGCCTCTCCTTCCCTCTGTGCCCCAGCCACCACCCTAGATCTGAGGAAAGGTGTGAGCTCTGGACAATGATGGCACCAATGGGTGGTTAAGACATTCCCCATCTCTTGCCCCTATTCTGCATCTATGCCCCTCCTGGGGGGGGGGGGGTGCTAAACAGCAGGCTCAGACTGAGGCTATGAAACTGGTAAAGCTTGAAGACTCTAAAGTGGCTGGCCTCTGCCTGAATTTCCTCAGCTCTGGCAACTTTCAGGCCAGGAGCAGAACGACCAGGGAGGGCCAGGAGGAGGACTGATATTTTTAGCAGAGTTGCTGGCAGCTGTTTGGCAGGTGCCAGGAGGTGGAGTGGGGACTGAGTTCAACTTTTCCCTTCTCTGGGCCTGTGTTTCCTCCTCAGGATTAGAGCATCTGCATCTGCTTGGTGCTGCCAGAGGGTCCCCCTGGTCTCTCCCCCAGAAGCCCTCTAAGGGCCTCCAGGGGTTTATGAGTGATAACAACCCTCACCCTGAAGGGCAGACTTCTTAGGGCGAATCTCCAATATTTCAGAACAGAGAAGAGAATAGGACTTGGTGTTGAGGCTAGAAGCAGGGATTTAGTTTGGTATCTGGGCCTGTGGGGAGTGGGTGTCATAGGTGGAGAAGGGTGAATCTCTGTCCAGTCCACAACTAGTCTACTTGCTTGGGCAACAGGCCAGGACTAGGAGAGGGAAGGGAGAATTCACTCTTAAAGGGCCAGACCTAATTCTTCCCCAGAGGGGAGCTACTGCTTGACTGGTCCAGTTTACCGCTGCCTGCCTCCCTCTCACACCCCCCAATCGCTTCCTCTCCTTCCTCCTCCCACCTCTCACACAACCTGCCCCACCCCTGATGAGTGGGAGTGTGTGTGTGTTGGGGTGGGGGTGAGGTCCCAGGGGGAGGGTGGGGGATTCCCGGGCGGAACACGTCAGCCCCCGCAGCAGCGTGGACGGGGGCGGAGGGGGCGGAGGGGGCGGGCGGGGGCTTAAATAGGCGGCTCCGGAGCCCAGACCAGCAGGAGCTGAAGAGACAGCAGAGGCGGCAGAGTCTGCGGCATCAGCAAGGGTCCGAGTGACTGAACCCTGGTCTGCGAGTGGATTGAATCTTAGACTCAGCGGGCTGTATCTGTATTGGAGCCCAGATCCTGGTCCTGACCCTGTCTGTGTGTGAGTGGGTGAGTGCCCTGGCAGAGCGGGGTGGGCCGCACCGTCTGGGTTGGGGATGGATAGGCCAGGCCCGGCGGGATCACAGGTTAGGACTCAAGGACTCTAGTGCCTGGGAGTAGGTGGCAGCAGATCCGAGCATCTTGCCTGACTCCGCATCCCGCCTTCCCTGCGGCTTACACTGATATCCCGGTTCCCGGTCTCCCAGACCCAGACGGCGTTGGACGCGATGACTCTGAACGGCGGTGGCAACGGAGCTGGCGGGAGCCACGGTGGGGTCCGGGAGCGCGAGCGCCGTCGGGGCAGCACCCCCTGGGGCCCGGCGCCTCCGCTTCACCGCCGTAGCATGCCAGTGGACGAGCGAGACCTGCAGGCGGCGCTGTCTCCTGGCGCCCTGGTAGCTGCTGCGACTGGAACCGGGCCCCAGGATCGGAGGCTGGACTGGCCAGAGGGCTCTTCCGACTCGCTCAGCTCAGGGGGCAGCAGTTCAGACGACAGTGTTTACAAGGTGCTGCTGCTAGGGGCTCCAGGCGTGGGCAAGAGTGCTCTGGCGCGTATCTTCGGTGGTGTAGAGGACGGGCCTGAAGCAGAGTCTGCAGGTGAGGTGATGCTACTGTTCAGGGGAGGGGAGATTCACCCTGGTGTGGGAATGGGATGGGGTTGGGGGGCTGTGGGGCTGGAGACCTGGATTAGAAACAGTAAATACCATGGACTTCTAAAGGCAGTTTCAAAAACAGCCCTACCTATTTCAGAGTCTACTTTCCTATTTCAAGATGCAGAGACTTAAGGAAGAAAGGACTCCACCCCCATCCCCACCCCACATGTCAGACCTTGGTAGGAAAGAAATGCCCAAAATAGAAGACCCAGGGCTTGGATGTGACTACTGTGTGGAGCAGGACATCCCTCCCTGCCAAGGCTGGCAGGAACACAAGCAGAGGGAGTTCTAGGAGAGGAGCTCTGGATGGCCAAGGCTGGCCCCCAGGGGTATGACAGTCACTATTCTATAGGCACTGTGATCAGAGCCACCATGGGACCAGATAGCAGTGGGGCAGGGAGCACTCAAGACTTTACTAGCCTAGAGGGATGTAGATGGAGGTCAGGCACACCATGCTATCCATCCCCCAGCTCCTAGCTCTTATTTTTGTTGCTCATAGTGGAGAGGAGGGTTGGAGGGTTCTGGGGAAGAGAGGGGAGGATGTGGCCACTACAGGAAACAAGGAAATGGGGGCTTTTGACAGCCAACAAGTAACCTGGCTACTGGTCTCCTGCCTAGGACACACTTATGATCGCTCCATCATGGTAGACGGAGAAGAGGCATCACTCATGGTCTATGACATTTGGGAGCAGGTAAGATTTAGACTGGAACCCGTGGCAGGAGTGGGAAGTTGAGCTGGGGTAGGGTCCTGCTGGAAGTGACAGGTTCATGTCAGGGGCATGAAGACTGTTGGGTTGATGTGTGTGTGTGTGTGTGTTCTTTAGGATGGTGGCTGCTGGCTGCCTGGCCACTGCATGGCCATGGGGGATGCATATGTCATCGTGTACTCAATAACTGATAAGGGCAGCTTTGAGAAGGCCTCAGAACTTCGGGTCCAGCTGCGACGGGCACGGCAGACAGACGATGTGCCCATCATCCTTGTGGGCAACAAGAGTGACCTGGTGCGCTCTCGTGAGGTTTCCGTGGATGGTAAGCAGGCAGAGGGTCAGGAAAGGGAGGGAGATCCTGGCTGGGCTGTGGTCCAGTTAGTCTTGGCTCAGCTTGAATCCCTGGGGGTCACCAGTGGCTAAAAATATTCAGGAAGACAACTTAGAGGAAAGGAAGGGAGAGAGAGTTGTTGCCCCCACTGTCCTCCACAGGGCTCCCAATGGCTCAAGAGGCCTGGGAAAAGAATCACATCTGCTAGGGAAAGTAAGGCACCATGGGTCCCTACTCTCCTGCCCCACTGACCCTGACCTGACAGGTAGAAGAGAGTTCAGGGAACCAGACCAGAAGGTAAGAGTCTGGTTGCAGGCTGAGATCAATCTCAGAGTAAGCTTGGCCCTTTCTTTGCAATCTCAGCATCCTCCTCTGTGGCCTCCATCATTGAGTCCCACAGGGGAACCCAGCAGTGACTTGCACCACTCTTCAAGTCTACCACCCAAGTCTACTGGGTCATTCATCATAATATGACAGCAAAGCTGTCCAAAATAGTTCTTATTTTCTTGGTTGACTACTGCAGTACTTCCCTTTAAATATCAGACTTCAAATAAATGAATGAATGAATTTCTTTTGTGGGCTACCATTTTGGGGGCTCCTTAAATGTAGGCACATCCTGCCTGCGGGGTAACCCTGCAGTGTCCTGGACCCTCAGAACAGGAGTTCTAAGGAAGACCCAGGCCTCCCCTTTCCCTTACCTGGGAATTCTTGTATGGTAGCTGCCAGGGGTGATCAGGGTTTGAATGCTGTTCCCTACCCTTTGTTTACTAGTACATTCTTATCCCCACCACCTAGAGGGCCGGGCCTGCGCTGTGGTCTTTGACTGTAAGTTCATCGAGACATCAGCAGCACTACACCACAATGTCCAGGCACTGTTTGAGGGTGTTGTTCGCCAGATACGCCTGCGCAGGGACAGCAAAGAGGCCAATGCACGACGGCAAGCTGGAACCCGGCGGCGGGAGAGCCTTGGCAAGAAGGCAAAACGCTTCCTGGGCCGCATTGTAGCACGCAACAGCCGCAAGATGGCCTTTCGTGCCAAGTCCAAGTCCTGCCATGACCTCTCAGTTCTCTGAGACCCTGCAGGCTCTCACTGAGGTGGGCAGATGGATAGGTTGGTGGGCTGGCCCAGCCAACCACCACTGGTACCTCAGGGCTAGCTCACTTTCGACACCCTGTGGAGCTGCCAGCTGGGCATCCACCATGGGTCATGGACAGAAGGACCGTGCTGCCCCGGGAGGCAGTTCCCAGTGGCTGGTGAGGGCTGGGCCCACAGATGTGCATGTGCAGGCCCACATATATACCAAGCAGCAACCTGAGCCCAGCCAGACCCGTGTGAGGGGACAGGACCCTGCCTTTCTTCTTTGTGCGTGCCTTGGAAGGAGACTGTTCAGTGCAGTTGCTATTGTTTACATGGAGATTTTTGTAATAAAGACTTATTTCCTGACATGTCAGGGCTGTGAACTGTGTTTCCTCCTATCTGGGGGCTTCAGGAGCAGGAAGGTATCTGAAGTTGAGAGATAGGAACTTCTTGCCCTACTCTGGTGTGCGGCCTTGATGGTTCTCATGTTTGGGCCTGCATATAGCCAGATGGACTGAGGAAGCAGGTCCAGGCAAGGCAAGGTTGGGAGTGTCCAGGGAGCAGGAGGAGACATAAACCCCTCCCAGCCTCTGTTGTCCAGATCTATCTCTGCACTGGGGCCTGGCATTGCCTGGATGATTGTGGGTCTTATCACCCCACTATATATAAAAGGAAACATTGCCTGAGAGAACACGCCTTCCCCTGGGTTTCACTGCCTGACAAGAACCCTGGGTCTGGCTCTACACCAGGTATTTCTACCCTGTTCCCTCCTGAGGTGCCAGGAATCAACTGAGCTGCAGATGGAGGGAGGGAAACTTCAGTGACTTGGGTGGCAGAAGGGTGGATGGTTTGTAAGAGTGGGAATGAGGAAGGTGTACCTGAGCATTCTTGGCTCCAGGTGGCTCCTTCATCTCCTATGCTGAGGTTGGGTTACTGAGGGGGCCCACACAATTCTTTCTTAAAATTCTTTCTGGCTGGGCATTGGCTAATTTGATTTTGGTAAAAACAGCTCCCTGGAGCCCTGGCTACCTGGAATGCAAGAGCATGCTCCCTGCCCACCCACAGTACTGGGGATTGAACACAGGTTCTTGTACATGCTGGGAAAGTAAGTGCTCTCCCACTGAGCTACATCCCCAGATCATACATTCTTGGAAGAATGTGAGACTGTGACTCCCTCATCCTCAACACAGGTGCTTGTGCAGGAGTTTGACTATAATCATCCCCCATTATCTATAGTTTCACTTTCTGTAGTTTTAGTCACCCTTCATTGACTACAGTCTGAAAATATTAAATGGAAAATTCCAGAAATTAACAGCTCCTACGTTTTAAATTGCATGATATTCTAAATAGCATGATGAAATCTTAAGCCATGCAGTTCTGTACAACTCAGGATATGAATCATTCTTTGTCCAGAGGCTACACACTGTGTGTGCTACCCACCTGTTAGTCTCTTAGGGCATCTCAGTTATCATATCAATTATCTTGGTATATTACAGTGCTAGTCATAAAGTAATCTTTAGTTTACTTATTTATGGCCCCTAAAACACAAGAGTAGTGATACCGGCAATTCAGAAATGCCAAAGAAAGGCTGTAAAGTGCTTCCTTTAAGAAAAGGAGAAAGTTTATTATAGGTTTATATAGGCAAAAATGTAGTGTTCGTGACTAAATATATACATATATACACACACACACATATATCCATATATATGTATATGTTTACATCATATATATTCACATATATGGGAGGAGAATGTGTGTGGGGGAAGGATACTGTCCTCTGTCTCAGGCATCCACTGGGGGGTCTTGGAATATATCCCCCATGGACAGAAGGCTACTGTGCATGGTTTCAGGAATGAGCATTTGCATTTGGTAATGGATAGAAAAGTGACTAAATGGGGACTGGTATACAAATCTCCTCATCTCCAAAGCCTGAAGGCAGTCTAGGACAAGGTGAAGGACACCTTCTGAGAAGGGTCTGGGATATGATCCATGTATTTCCCATTTCTACATTAGTTCCATTTATTCATTTCACTGACCCCTGGAAGCTCCCAAGACCTGGTTAGAACCCCAATTACAACTTGTTCCATGGCAAAAGGAGGTTTGAAGCTGGTCCAGTGTGTGTGTGTGGTGTGTTCGTGTGTGTGTATGTGTGTGTGTGTGTGTGTCTCCACTGAGTCTCACCCACATGCCCCCCAGGACAATATTCACTATTCAAAACTGCTGCTGCTGCCTGTGCCTGCTGCCAATATACTTTGAGGCATGGGAAGGGCATGGTTTTCTCAGAGCAGATGAGGGTCCCCAGCCCTGAAGAGGAATCCTGGCTCTGCTATTTATTGGCTGTATGATCCAGAGTACTAAGAACCACTTTGCTTCTCTGTGCCCCAGTGTGTGGTTTGAAGACAGTGCCCCCTTCAGAATGGAGTGGGTAGAACAGTGTGTGCTCAGAGAGGTGCTGGGCATAGTGGGAGCTCAACATCTGTGAGACCCTTTCAACATCCCCACACATCACTGACCCAGACTGGGTGCCCAAGTGACTGAGAGGCAGGCACTCAGCTTGTGACAAGACTGGGGGCAGCTGACAGGCGCTAGCCTAGCTGCCAGCTTAAGAGAGTCTAACCTTGCAGAATACAACAGACACTAGTATGGCAATATGTAAATCAATGGATGTGTAACTGATGTGATTCTGCAATCTGTATACGGGGTAAAAATGGGAGTTCATAACCCACTTGAATCAAAGTGTGAAATATGATATATCAAGAACTATGTAATGTTTTGAACAACCAACAATAAAAATTTTTAAAAAACGAATAAATAAATAAATAAATTGCAAAAAAAAAAAAAAAGAGAGAGAGAGAGAGTCTAACCAGATATGCAGTGGGAAGGCCTCAGGGGAGACCATGGGAAACTCCAAGGACAGGGAGAGACAGGAGACCAGGATATCCCCCCCTCCCTCTTCCCCCTCATCTCAGACTCCCAGGCCCCAGAAGCTTCTCCTGGATCTGCTTGGCAGCACTTATTGGGGGAAGGGCTCTGGTCAGCCTTGTAGTTTCTCAAGGTCACCTGAGTTGGCTCAGTCTTCTCTTTCCTTCTCAGAGGCATAAGACAGTTCATTGTCCCAACTCTATCAGCAATCAGGGGCCAATGCAAGGATATGGGGACACTCAAGGGAGCTCACAGCTGTTGTCCCACCCATTAGTCGCACTGGTGAACCACCTAGAACCCTTAATGCCCACTTCAGGTCATGCATTGCTCATCGGCCCTCAGGTCCAGTCCTTGTCTTAGTTTCATAAACCAGTTGGGAGCTGCCAGGCATGGCGAGGGTCAGGTTGTGACGGGAAATTTGAATCCTGCTTTGGAGGGGCTCCGAGTCTAATGAATGGACGACAAGCTGGTGTCCTCTACACATTGATAGAGAAAGTTTATGGTGTGGGGTGGGGTCATTCCCAGAGGAGGCTCCTGAACCAGCCTCTGAGCACTGGGGGCTTTCCTGGTAAAGGGACCGTTTTCCCTGAGAACTAAAGCATGGTACTTACCACATAGATGAAGCGGTGGGAAGGGCATTCCAAGGAAAAGGAACACAGAGTGTGCAAAGGTGCAGCTGCAGGTGCCGGCACACAGGGGAGAAGTGGGACCCAGTCTGAAGCCACGGAAAAAGTAGTGTCCAAGCCCAGAAGGCCAAGGAGTGTCTACTGAGCTGTGTCGGAGAAGGGGAGGGCCAGGCCATGGTTTGCCCACCTCCTGGGGCTGGCAGTCACGGATGCTGAGCAGCAACCAGCTTTCCAATGTCAATGAGTAACTTGGGGGGCTAGGCCAGGCCAAGCCAGCTGCTATGGGCCTGGTGGCATTTTCCACTCCTGAGCAAGCAAGGCTGGCCCGCCTACCTGTTCAAGTGCCCGCCTTGCCCTACTGGACCCAGCCCAGCCTGCCCAGAGCTCCCTGCAGAAGGAGCCCTCTTACCTGGCAGCTGGACCAAGGGTAAGGGAATGGGAGTGGGAGGGAGTGTGAAAGTGGGGTCTGGGGGCACCACCCTCTCTTTCTGTTGTCCTTTGGGGAAGAATTTCCAGGGATCCATCTTGGAGTGGTTGTGGATGCTCTATGTGCTTAGATATAGGCCAAGTGCTGGAAAATGCCCAGATGAGGGCAGAGCTCTTACCCTGGGGGTACTCCATGTCTGGAGTGTGGCAGTGGGAAGCAGGACAGTGCCTGAGACCCCAAGCCATGAATCCTTGTTCCAGGAAGAATGTTCTTGTGGTCAAGTCCTCTATGACCTTGGCCAGGCCCTGACCTTCAGACCTTGCCTGCAACATGAGGCAACTACAGGAAGTGACCTCACACAGTCTTTCCATCTAAAACTTTTGTGATTTGTTGTGTGTCCGGGAATGCGGGGATGCCGGAAAATCACTACATTGGGATCTACAAGCTGGGGAAGTGAGGGCTTGAGAGAGACAAAGGTCTGGAGGGATCCTTGTGGGAACAAGAGCCAAGAGGGTCTGGGGTCTTGCTGGGTCTTGCTGGGGAGCTAGACACCTCCCTGCAGGCAACAGTGAGCCACAGGGAAGGAAGAGGAGGCTAGTCCATAGTGAGGTTCCTCTACTCGTGTGAATGGGATAGAACGTCCCTTCCCACTCATCTGGGCCAGATTCTCACTGCCATGTCCCTCAGGCCCATCCTGACCATGGTCCCTGCCTGGCTGTGGCTCCTTTGCCTCTGCGTCACCCAGGTGAGTTGGGTCCTGCCCGCTCCTTCAGGCCCTGGTCTTGGGGGTTGGCACCCTTTTCCCTCAACTCCATCTGGACCAATTTACTCACCATAGGAAGAGTATGGAAGTGGGGGCTCAGAGCTGGGGGTGTGGGGCTGATGTGGGGTCCGGAGGTCAAAAGCCAGAAGATGGATGGACTGAGGTAAAGCCAGGTCCAGAGAAGGGGCAGAAATTTCTCTTCCCATCACATCCCAGCACCTTTGTAGGAAGATAGACCATGGGTCAAGGTGAGCATTCACTCACAGGTTTTCCCTGAGGCCCAGCCTGCAGATCTGCATGTGGAAGTCCCTGAAAACTATGGTGGAAATTTCCCTTTGTACCTTATCAAGGTGAGCTTGAGAGCTGGTAAGTGCCAGCTCAGTGTCCCCACATGTAAAGTAAGTGAAGGGGTACTCTTCAGGGGCCTGGCCTCCACTTCCTTTGGTTCCATTCTTACCAGCTGCCACTGCCCCGTGAGAAGGCTGAAGGTCGGGTTGTACTGTCAGGGGACTCAGACATGGAAGCTGAGGACCCCTTTGCTGTGGACCCAGATTCTGGCTTCCTGACAGTGACCAGGGCCCTGGACAGAGAAGAACAGGCAGAATATCAGCTTCAGGTATGGTTGGCAAGGTATAGGGGAGAGTAGGCAGGGCAAGGCCAGGTACTCACAACTCTTCTTTGCCAGGTCACCCTGGAGACTGAGGATGGACATGTCTTGTGGGGTCCACAGCATGTGATTGTGCATGTGAAGGATGAGAATGACCAGGTGCCCCGATTCTCTCAGACCGTCTACAGAGCTCAACTGAGTCAGGGTACCAGGCCTGGTGAGTGATGAGGGAAGACAAGTTGCAGCAGTCAGGTGAACACTTACGGAACAGCCAAGAGTAAAAAGACAATCAGTATAGGGACCAGGGCAGCCAGAGTCTAAGCTTCTCCCCCATCTCTGTCCCATCCTGCGCCCTTCCCACCTTGCTGTGGGTCATGTCTATTCTTGGCTTCAGTTTTCTCATCTGTGAAGTGGGATGAAAAGCCATGTCTCACCCCCACAATCCTGATTGATAGAAGGATGGATATAGAAGGAAGAACCAGGGAGAGAGAGGGGAGGCACAGGAGACTCCCCACCCCCACCATCTCTTACAGTGTATCTTCTCCCCACCCACCAGGTGTCCCCTTCCTCTTCCTTGAAGCTTCAGATGGGGATGCACCAGGAACAGCGAACTCAGATCTTCGATTCCGGATCCTGAACCAGGCTCCAGCCCAGCCTTCGCCAAACATGTTCCAGTTGGAGCCTCAACTGGGGGCTCTGGCTCTCAGTCCTGAGGGTGAGCCTGAGGAGAGTCAGGGAAACTGAAGAAGAGGGGCTCTGAGCTGCAAATGAGTTGGAGCTGGAGATGAAGGGGGAGAAAAGGATGGAGAGCAAGGCAGAGGTCATGCCTGGCTGTGCGTGGAGAGCTAGGAAACAGGGTGGTGTGCCTCTGCCCACACCCAGGGAACCAGGTAGAAATGGCTCAAAGGGGCTGTGGTCCAGGAACCTCAGAGCTGAAGGCAGAAGAGACCTCGACAGGGAGTTCAGACTAGAAGCACTGCTTGAGGATAAAAAAAAAAAAGTGAATTATACCTCAACCCAGCCAGTCACCGCTTCACACATTTACCCTGACACCACCCATAGAGCCCATCTGTCCAACACTCACATATCCACATACTCTTCCATGCACTCACCCAAATCCCTATCCATCAACCCAATAAATTATTCATTCATCCAATGATCATCTCCCACCCTGCCCACGTCTACCACATCTCCAACCTGGCTATCCATCTACCCCTCACATCACTGTGTGAGTAGATATGGAAATGACATTGCAAACTATCAAATCCTAGTTGGAATCTCATGATGGTGTTAAACGCTCCTCTTATCCTTTGGGCAAGAGAGTGTTCTGAACCTCTGCCACTGGATTGGCTTTGTGTTTGGTATCTGCTGAGAAGGTTACTATGGTTCTTGTTCCCTGGCCTCATGCTTGGATAACCATCCTATCCCTTCTAGGGAGCACCAGTCTAGACCATGCCCTGGAGGGGCCCTACCAGCTGTTGGTACAGGTCAAGGACATGGGTGACCAAGCCTCAGGCCACCAGGCCACAGCCACCATAGAGATCTCCATAGTAGAGAACACCTGGGTGCCCCTAGAACCTATACACCTGGCAGAGAATCTTGAAGTCCTGTACCCACACTACATTGCCCAGGTAAGTAAGTGGTTTTCAGTGGCCAAAGCAATCCCAGATGGTGCAGTTGAACCTGAGGCTCATGGACTGTTGGAAGGTATGTCTGGGAACCAACTTGACCCCCACTCCTCCTTCCACTCTTCCCATTACTTCTCACTGTAGAGGAGGGTATATAAGGCTTTGGGACCAAGCCCATAGTTCCTAACCTGCCATCCTCTGGCCGGTGTAGCTCTGTGTTCTGACCTCTCCAGCTTGCCCAAGGCTTTCTTGGGGAGAACAGCTGCTACCTCTTGCTGCCATGGGGATTGTCACCCAGGACAGGAATGTCTCAGGCCTTCTCTAGGAATGTCCTTGGGTCAGGCCCAGCTTGAAAAGACAGAAAAGAGAGTAACCTGGTTATTAGGGCACTGTGGGACAGGGCCAGGCTTGAATCAAGGCAAAGTCACAATGACAAGTGCCCCCTACAGGGGAATCTACCTGGCCTCAAGACTTAGGGAGGAGAGCAATTTGCCTAAAGTCACATGGTAATTGGGTCCGGCCCCTTGCTTGGGTATCTCTTTGGGACACAAGTGCTGACACTGAACATTCCTGCGCTTGGCATGGGTGTCTTCACTCTGTACCCTCCTCTCAGGCACATTGGAGTGGAGGGGATGTGCGCTATCACCTGGAGAGCCAGCCCCCTGGGCCCTTCAAAGTGGACACAGAGGGGAAACTCTACGTGACCAGGGAGCTGGACCGAGAGGCCCAGGCTGAGGTGAGGTGAGAGGGAAGCCAGGGAGGTAGGCGGGAGGGTGCTTAGTCACTGGTTGGCTTTTGGGGATGTCACATCCCCCACAGAACACTGAGGCAGTGGAAGAGAGCCCAGAAGAGCTGAAGCTGGCCACCAGAAGGGACTGGAACCACCCTTGGCCCTGACCTGAAGCCTCCCACTGCCCACTGCAGTTTGTGCTCCAGGTGCGGGCTCAGAATTCCCGTGGTGAGGACTACATGGCGCCTCTCGAGTTACACGTGGTGGTGATGGATGAGAACGACAACGGGCCCGTCTGCCTCCCACATGGGCCCTCAGTCAGCATCCCGGAACTCAGCCCCCCAGGTGTGCTGTGGGTCTGGTCAGGGGTGAGGGAAAGGTGCAGTCTCTGAGAACCATCCCCTTGTGCTTCTCTGGGGTAAGGGACTCTAGCTTCAGGCCCCTATATTAATGTCCCTCTCCAACACTCCTCCACGCACAAGCTCAAGTTAAGTTCAGCACAAAAAAGAAGCATGGAGTGGGAGGCTTAGGGCCTCCAGTCTGGGCCATGGTCCCACCCAGGTGTGGCCTGTCTTGTAGGCACTGAAGTGACTAGGTTGTCGGCAGAGGACACAGATGCCCCTGGCTCTCCCAATTCCTACGTTGTGTATCAGCTGCTCAGTCCTGAACCTGTGGAGGGGGCTGAGGGGAGACTCTTTGAGCTGGATCCTACCTCAGGCTCTGTGACTCTGGGAACTGCTCCACTCCAAGCCGGCCAGAACATTCTGCTTCAGGTGCTAGCCACTGACCTAGCAGGAGCAGAGGGTGGTAAGTGCCCTGATGGTGACCTGGGTCTCCTACCCACTCTGTTCCTACTGGAGTCTCACCAACACGAAGCTCGTTCCTGCCTCAGGCCTCAGCAGCACGTGTGAGATTGCAGTTACAATCACAGACATCAATGACCACGCCCCTGAGTTTACCGCCTCCCAGGTAAGTAAAAGCAGGAAGGAGACCTTGGGAAGGGTGCTGGTAGGGCTCACCACCCCTCGCCCTCTCTCCAGATTGGGCCTATAAGCCTCCCTGAGGATGTCGAGCCTGAGACTTTGGTAGCCACTCTCATGGCCACTGATGCTGACCTTGAGCCTGCCTTCCGCCTCATGGACT